CATCACTTAAAGGAGTAGTTCCCCGCTGGAGAGACAGTGTTGTCATTAAACTAGGGTATCCCTGTGGTAAAAAGGCACAAATAATTTTGAAATTGGCGCTATATGACCAGAGAAAACACAACACGTAAGTATGCCAAATGTATGTGAACCTTGAACTAATAACTAAGGAATAATCTGAACCCTGTGGCCGGACCAGTTGGGAACCATCGATCTAACATGTTTCTAAAAACATTTGAGGCGAGAAATAGGCAGCTCAGTAACAGAATCTTGGTTTATATTTTAACAACACTGCTTAGTTTTAGGGGCGGCACAGTGGTGTGGTGATTAGCACTGTCGCCTCACAGCAAGAGGGTTCCTGGTTCGATCCCGGGTGGGGGAGCTCTTCCGTGTGGAGTTTGTATGTTCTCCCTGTGTCAGTGTGGGTTTTCTCTGGGTACTCCAGCTTCCTCCCACAGTCCAAAGACATGCAGGTTAATTGGTGACTCTAAATTGTCCGTAGGTGTGAATGTGACTGTGAATGGTTGTCTGTCTCTATGTGTCAGCCCTGCGATAGTCTGGCGACCTGTCCAGGTGGTACCCTGCCTCTCGCCTAATGTCAGCTGGGATAGGCTCCAGCCCCCCCGCAACCCTTAGGAGGATAAGTGGTTAGAAGATGGATGGATGGATGCTTAGTTTTACTGTTTAATCTCAGTTTTTTCAACCTCCGTTTCCACCATGCAGGAAACTTTATGGCGCCCACTTCCTGTTCACAGACTCTCACTAGTACAGCTAAACAGTGCACTAAAATATGTTTCTAAAAATGTTTTAGGTGAGAAAGAGGCAGTAATGTCATTGGTTTATATTTGGTTGGCATTGTCTAGTTCTGACTTTTGAGTTTGGGAGTTTAAGAGGTAGAAAGAAAGAGGAGGGCATGTCTGTTACTTGATCCTCTTTTATACTCTTTGTTTCAGTGGTGGCTGTATCAGAGGCAGGCAATATGAAAATGCTTAAGTACAGCCTGTAGTTTGAGTGACAGCCAGCGAAACGGACACATTTTGTGTTATTGGAAGGAGTTTTGCAAGGAGGGGAACATGGAGATGTAGGTACTGCTGCGTTGGAGGGAAGTTTACCACAGTTCATTTACACAATACCCACACTGTCAAGATACAAAGCAGACTGAAACTCGGCCAAGTACCCTTTTATGACCCACTAGAAGTGTGTGGCAGTGTATGATTCTGCAGAGACTCTGCTCTCTGCCTGTATTTTCTTCTTACTATCTGTGTTCAGGACATTAATGGGCATGTACCCCCACAGCATGAAGGTGAGATAAGGGCTTTATGAAAAGGTAGCGACCAGGTGATTGACCATAAGCTGAAAAAGAAACTCGCATCTAGCCAATCAAGAGTGAAACTGGGATTGGCTTTTATTTTCACTTTTGCTGGTGAGCATGTTCACAAACAGTAACCAACAATCCTGCAAAGCATACCTTTAATTAGAGACAGAAACATCAGTGTTTGTTCTCACTTTCTTCGCATTTATTAACTTTTACAGTCACGGCTACAAACTGAGAACTTTTCTGTTTTTTTTTTAGGGAGTGAGAAAAAGTAATCTGAGGTGTTTGAGTGAACAATAACATAAGGACATTATCTGTATTTCAGTACAAAAACTATTTCCCTCGATAACTTTATTCATATGAAGACAGAAAAGCTTCTGGAACAATATTTCGACCTTTGTGAGATGCTACAATTTTACAGTTCAGAGTCTCAAAGCAAACAGAGCTTGTATCGTCTTTTCAGCTCTTGTAACAGATGGTACAGTCAGTGAACAATGTGGAGTCAGCTCAGAGGTTAGAGAGGCAGGCCTGTGACCGGTTACCCGTTGAAATCCCTCAACCAGCTTGCAGAGTGTCTGCTGGGAAGTAAATGAGCGCTGCTGTTTCGTCTCTGAACGACTTAATGAGCAGCAAACAGCAAACAGTAGAGGACTGTGGTTACGCCGTAGTTTAAGCGTGGGTACCAATGCCACTGTAAAGGTCAATATACCTACACACACAATGTGGCTGTGGTCGAAACATATGCAGGCAGCACAAGATGTCTGTCATTTGTAATCACCACTCATTCATTAACAAATACTGTGTAACATCAACAGATTGAAGTGGTGTGACAGGTCCAAATCTATTGGCAAGCGACAAACCCAGAATAGAGAGACACTGACGGAGCTGACAGCTTGTATTTTCACTGAGTCATTCCTGAATATCATACTGTTCAATTTTATATTAGTTGATAATATCAGCTCCATTTCATAATTTACAGATTCGCAGTTGGCGAGCGGTGGATTCTGAGCAACAGGAATAGTGGACATTGTGAAATTATAAAGGTGTTTATCAATCCAGTAGTGGAAAAAGCAATCCTTGATGATAAGCTGCACGACTCAATATTTTCATACCAACAATGGATCAAATCCAGTGTTGGGCAGTAAGACGTTACCAGTAATGCTACAGTAATAACATTACTTTTTCCACCTGTTGTTGCAGGTAGTCCAACTAAAACTTTTTCCACTGGATAAAAATGGAAACAGCATAGTATCTATTTTTTTTATTATATAAATTATTTATATTTCAAGTACAAAAGAAACTTTTGGTAGCCCACTAGAATAATAACATTATTTGCTTTTTAAGACCACTAAAGACATTTTGCTGCAGTGAAAATGATTGAATTAAGATGAATGGACTGAAAACTTTATCTTCTTAGATAAAACAGATGCTGACAAAGTTTTTCATCAGGGACATTAAAGAAAGGCAGTAAATCTTCATATATTACGATGTGAATTATCACAAAACTCTTAAAGTCTCAATAATATTGTATTATGACTTCAGTATCATAATAATATTGTATTGTGGGGGCTCTGGTAAATCAAACCCCAAGTATTCATTTGCCTGTAATTTGCAACCTCACTGCTAAATGCAGCCAAATCCTAAATCCTGCTCCTCTAACATAAAATGTGGAAGAAATAACGAAATAAAATGTTCTTAAAGTTTCAAGAGTACAAATATAGAGATGTTGAGAATGTTGTAGGTGGTTGAGGCCAAGCTAACAGTAACCACTCTATATCTTACTATATAATGATGAAAACTCTGTGTGTGTGTCTGTGGGTGTGTCTGGTGCACGTATTTTTCTCCTCACTGACTTGGTCAATCCATGTGAAATTTGGCACAGTGGTAGAGGGTCATGGGAAGATGTGAATGAAGCAATATTACATCAATTGGCCAAAGGGGGGCGCTATAGCAACCCATTGAAATTGCAAACTTTGAATGGGCATATCTCATGCCCCGTATGTCGTGAAGCATGACACTTTGCACAGAGATGCCTCTCTTCATGAGGAAGACATTTGCCTCAAGAACCCATAACTTCCGGTTATATAGATTTTCTGCCATTTTGAATTTTTTGAAAAACACTTAAAATCGATCTCTTCCTAGGAAGTTTGACCGATCTGCATGAAACTCGGTGAACATAATCTAGGGACCAATATCTAAAGTTCCCTCTTGGCAAAAGTTGGAAAACTTACTAAAACTGAGCTTCTATAAGGCAATGGATATTGCAGAGGGCGTGGCTCATCACATAAAGTTGTATAACATCTCAAGGGTTTCACCGATCACCACGCAACTTTGTAGGCATATGACCACACATAATCTGAGGGGACCCCTCCATTATTGACCCCATCAAACAAAATGGGGGCGCTAGAGAACTAATTTCTTATCTCGGCCTAACCGCCATATCGATTTTTACTAAACTTGGTAGATATGTAGAACAGGACGCCTCAAGGTGACTGGAGAAATTTAACTCTAATTGGCAACTGGGTGGCGCTATAACAACAGAAAAATGCTTAAAAATGGCTAAAACGCGACCGATCACTGTGGCTCCCCCTGTGGCCCAATGTTGTTGTTTTTTTCTAATTTTTGGTATGACTAAGTCATGGTATGGTATGCTGTACATAATCACGCAAACTGTCAGTGTGTCATTCTGTCAGTCAGTCAGTCATTCTACCAGTGCGCTCCACTTTTAAGTCAATACAACATATAAACACTTTAACTATGTGCCTTTTAACGTGCTACCTCAACTACTAATGTACAGTTTTAGCCCACTAACTATCCCACTATTGGCAATGGTACTACTATACTTTCAATAAAGCAATCGTACTATCAAATTCACAAAAACTCTGTCTGAATACATTGCTCTTCTTAATGACTTCAGTTGACTATTTAATCTGCAATTTCCTCTGACCTGTATCCCAAACACACACCATGTCAAACTGTACGTGGGCAACTGTGCACTCAGTGGGTATGGACTAGTATTGTTTATTATTTAAATCTTTACCAAAACAAGAAGAGCGCCACAAATAAATGAGTGTATGGGAAACCTTGATGTTTTATGGGTAGATGTCCTGATCTTCTGCAATTCTGTAAGCTGCAAAGTAACCAGTGAATACAAAATGAAGTGCTGCAGTACTGTAAATATTCCCTCTCAACTGCAGCAGAGTAAAGATGCACAATTTAACCAACAATGTACTTTGTTACTTTCTACCTCTAGTCTCCATAAAGAGAGTGATACTTCTTTCACCCTGGGGAAAACAAGCTTCACAAGGACACCATCTTTATGGCTTTAGATGAGCCCCGAGCTTGATGATGCAGGATCAATTAAAACATACAGCTGTTCGTTTTCCTCGGGCTTGAGCAATAAACACTGATTAAACAAAGACGCAGCAATCTGAAAATTAATCTTGTGGATTTTTGTTTTCGTGCCCGGCGAGCTCACCATGTGATCCCCCTTCTGTTGGACGTATTATTATCTAGTAGTCTACCATGAGTTCTTTTGTTTTTCATCAAAGCAGGAACACGTTTATGACTGTATGTGTGTCACGTTTCAGGCTGAGGTGTGGTTTATAATCAGCAGCTGTGTTTAGGACACTGCCCTGTATATCAGTCTAACCTTGGAGTCCATGTGTGTGTGTTGGTGCGTACTCACAGCCAGCATGCGGTTCTTGTCCTTCTCGGCGTTGTTGAGAGCATTCTCGAGGGTCACTCTGTGTTTCTTGGCGACTTCCTCCAGAGCCCGAGCCTGGCCGTCCTTCATCTGGCTAGCCTCCTCTTCGGCTCGAGCTCGCATATTGTTCATCTCCTTCTCGTGGGACAACTTCTCCTCACGCAGGGTCTGACGGAGACAGGACATAAATATGCATGCACACACACGTTTAAAAAATATGCTTAGATGTCAGTGTTATGATATATGGTACACAGAGAGAGTGCGGGCTGACATTCATCCCATATGCTGTATTTTTCAGCCATATTGTCAGTGTGTATTGAGTGACAGCCAAGGTGTCAATCCTGCATCCTGTCTGTCTGTATCTGAAATGTTGTCACCAAAGTCATATTTGTTATTCCTGAAGCACCAAAACCCAACAAACTTAAAACAAAACATTTTGTACCAGCCTCCATGTAGGAGGGGGGTTACTGATTGAGGAGCTATGGAGCCTAGAATCAGTCTGCCACATAACCTAACCGTCATTCTGATTCTAGATGGAGTCTTAACGCAAGTTGGTGTTTGTCAAATGTTGTTTTTAGCATCTGGAGTGACAGATGCAGTGAGTTAGTTACTGCCTGTCAACCTGAAAAGAATGGCACTTGAAATTCCTGATTTTTTTTTAAACAATAGGCTTTTTTACACATAGATTGTGCTATAGACCCTTCTTCAGACCGCATTTGCATTTCTACGCAGAACTAAATAACAGCTGCATCAAGCTGTTCCAGTGTGTGATTTTAGACAGCAGACTGGCATCGCGGAGGCATTGGCTTCTAGTGTGACATATAACAGATGCATTAGCAGGGCTTTCTAAATAATAATAATGGCATAATATGGCAATAATAATCATTTGCTGTCCCTGTTATATGGTGGCTGATCCCATCCACTGCTCAGAGGGTAATGAGCTCTCAGACCTCACTGTTTTTTCAATTTGCGGTCCTTTTCTTCATCTTTAAGTTAGCTGCTAACTGATATCAGCTGCTTTTTAAATCTTCCGCGGTGAGTCGCACGTAGGGTTGCGAACAATTAACCGATACGACCGGATATCCAGTTTGACAAGCGAGAGATACGGCTGCGTCGGTAGCAGCCTCCTCAATCGATACGAATCAGCCAAGAATCCTTAGATGAATCGACTCTACAATCGATTCATCCTTAGATGAATCGATTGACTCTACAATCGATTCATCCTTAGATGAATCGATTGTAGAGTCATGGATTTGGGTATCGCAGCAATCGGCTGACTGGCTTTAACAGTTTGCATCTCTAAAACAACGTGAGAGCCGGCGGCATGCTCCGTAGCAGGCATTACTGACAACGATAATGAATGTAAACATCAGCGCCAGCTTGACCGGTGGAGCTGAGGAACAGAAGCCAATGCTGGTTGGATAAACTAGGGAGCAGCCAAGCCGCAGCAGAAACTTAAGGCGAATCCTGTCGGTTGTGGGTTGAACGGGGGGTCACAGACACAGACAGAAATACGTATTCCTGTCAAATACAGCGGCCATAGTGCTCCGCGGCGCAAGATAATGGCTTACCGGCGACCGAGAAGCCCGGTCCAAGAAGTCTTCGTCGGTGTCATGACTGCCCAGAAATACCTGAACAGCCGAGCCGTAGCAGCACACAGGTATGTGGCATGTCAGAGGAGAAACGAGCCGTTCACATTTCCACAAACCTCACCGCACTTTAGGGACTGTTCTTTACTTGTCAGGGGAGGAGGGTGGCTGGTTGATTTCTATTTTATTTATTTATTTTATTTTGATCCCTGCTATGTTAATCACTTATTAATGCTGTTTTTGAAGTATGAATAAGTCATTAAGTAATTTATTCCATTGAAATATCATTGATGTATTATAGAAAAGTGATTTATCTTTTTATAAATGACAAACACAGAGTGTAGCAAACACAGAGAAATAGTCTGACATGCTGTCAGTGATAAGCTGCTAGTCATCACAGTCCATGATATCAACTAATAACAGTAGATGTCAGATTCTGCCCCTACATTGCATGTTATTATTTTATTCTGCTTTATGTTTATATTGTACAGCGTTATGATAAACTTTATTCCAGACTCTAGTCCATATAAGATACATACAAAAACACAGACAATACAATAAAAACAACACAACAAGTAGGTTTAAAACACTTAAATTTTACTTAAAGTTAAAGTTTAAAACTTCTTCTCATTTTTATATTGATCCCATCCAACAAAATGATGTTCATTCAGCAAGTCTTTTTTTGGTCCATGTCTAAAAATAAATACTATACTATAATTTGACATGGGATTTTGTTGTTGTTTGTCTTTTTATTTTATTTTTGCCAGTGCCATACAGCAACAATGCTTGGGGATGTGGTCTTTTACAAATTTGAAAATACTGTAAGAATGTCACTTTTATAGAATTGGCTTCTTTATTTTATAATGTATGATTAATGTCTACATCAACAAATGTTAACCACAGAATCATATCGAATCGAATCGCATCGAACCGCATTGGTCATACACTGTATTGAATCGTATCGAATCATTCTGTATTAAAAATATATCGTTTTTGAATCGTATCGTAACCTGTGTATCTAGATACGTATCGAATCGTCTATCACAGAGAGATTCCCAACCCTACATGTATATTGTACCTTTTACATGGAACAGAGAGGCGGCATAACAGCATGAAATTACCACCTTGAAGAGGCAGTGTAAAAGAAAGCTTATGAGCCCTTGATTTCACAAAGAAAGAAACAAAAGCAGACTTGTTTCTCCCGTCTGTCAGTGTTGTTGTCTGAAGAACCAGCCGCTAGCAGATTTCAATCAACTGTAGCTATCTGGCTAATTAACGCTAACTCAGTGAAGCAGTCAAAAATGCCATCTCTAGTTCTCAGCTGACTTATTTTAAAACAAAAACTGTGTAAAAAGGTCTTCAATACACACTTGATGGCTACATACATGATATAATGCTGAAAGATTATGACACAAAGCCAGTATTCTCACCAGTTGCTGATCCATGTGGAAGACATGTAAAACAATTTCATTTTACTGCCGCATAGCGCTAGTTCGCCCTGATATTACAGTGTAGTTTTATTGGTGAAAAATGTGGTTACATTTAAACAGTTTAGTGTTTGGATGCTAACTGGCTTATAACAGGAAAACATACTGACCAATGTGTCTGGCAGATCTAACGTTATCACACGTTGGCTAAATTCTGAAATAGTAGCAACGTGGCTCCTACAGAGTCAATGTGTCTGAATGGGGCATTTTTTTAAGTAACCTGTAACCCCACAAAATAAAGTAATTAGCTAAGGATGTGCTAATTCTTGACCTTGGAGGCAATGCTTTGTTAAAACTGTGGGTATTAAGCTAGTTAGACAGGTATGCTAATGTTTGCATCTTGTTTGTGTCTCTGCGCACAGAGATTGGCTGTCAGGCTGTGCCTAGTTATAGTCGCTAGGCTATGATTGGACAATCAGTCATTGTGGAAGGGTAAATTGGGAAGATTAAGAGCATGCTGATTAGTGATTTGTTAGTTATTAGTTTGTGGGTAAGTAAGGCCTCATCCACACGTACAATGGGCATTTCTGAAAATGGGGTTTTCACTCCGTTTAAAATAAGAAAAAATCTTGTCCACTTAAGCACCGACTGCCTTAAAAAATGTCCATCCAAATAAATATGCACAAACACATTTAAAAGGCTGTCAAGAGCGTGCCAAACCAATAGCCAGTGATATAAACCTATAACCTAAAACTACACATAAAAAAGAAGATGATGTTGGCTAGAAGCCTGAAAAAAAGCTTTTACCTGAAGGCTACCTTAAGCTGTGACCTCTGTAGAGCATTCTGACGCCTCAGTTCCTCAATACAGTGAAAGAGTAACTGAACATTTATGTATAGAAATGTAAAAAGTCTTGTTAGCAAGGTGACAGCCTACACTATTTTGGCCACATCTGCCACTGCGTTAAATGTCTCCTCATTTGTGATACCTTAAAAAACAGGAGACACCAGTACACACACTGACATTACAAACTAAAAGCTCAGTTCTCCCCGTCCACATGTCAATGCTGAGAAGTTGCTGAAATTCTTCACCCCGCAAGAAGTTTTACAAAAGGTTTTCTTTTTAGTGACCTAAAACAGTTTTTGTGTTCACAGGGGGTCAAAACACAGAAAAAAAGTTTTCAGTATAACCATGTATGTGTGGATTAGCCCTGAGAGGAGTCGAAGCTGAATCAGAAACGAGCTGTCTCATAGATTTTAAACTGGAGGGATAATAGAGGGAAGTGGTAAAATATAGGAATGGATAACAGCCAAAAGATGCGGCTCAGAGGGCACAGAGGAGAAAGAATGAAGTCCTGCTGATTTAAGTTGTTACCGAGCACCATATATTGTGTAACAGACAGACGAGCAGACAGGCAAGAACAAACGCCCTCTGTACCCGGCAACAGCGCACTGGGTTTGTCATTGGAACTTTGGTACAGCATGAATCAAGGATAAAGTCACAGAAAGCAGTGACATTCCTGAGAAACTGAAAATAAAAATATAATCTGCAGCCCATTTACTTTGAGTTTAATCAGGGGAGCAGCTGTTTCTTCATTGCATGGGTTTAACAAATTTTTAATGAGCCAAACTGCGCCAAAAAAGCCACATGGGACCAGTGATATCCATTACTTCAGCTGACATTAGGCACAGTAACAGACCCCTAAAGTAAGCCAAAAAACTCTCTGTGAGAATGTTTGCTCTAGTGCATACACAGATTATCTGCCTACTAATGAGATGAGATTCAAAATCTGTTGTAGGTTTATTTTTTCCTCTCGATTTCTCTGTTGAACAATATACTTCTGGTACTCTGCTGATCATAAAAAATTAATGTGTTTTTTGTGCATAAAGATGCAACCCTTTATTGTGAGGCAGTTCAGATTCTTCAGGTTTCTGCTGCACTACCTGTCATTGTTTTTGGCTGAGATGTTTCACATTTACCAAAACACAGGGTATGACATAAGCACATGGATAATGAAAGGACTAACTACTAGGGATGTCCTGATTAAGTTTTTTTGGACACAATCACGAGTTGAGTTGTTTAACATTGGCTATCTGCTGATGCAGAGTCCGATATGATACTTGTATTTACTATAATGAAGCAATAATACGAGAGGGAAGGCTGTTGTACTGAATATCATGATTCGGTCATAGCCGCAGATACAACAGCACGACCTCAAGATCGATATTGCTTTTATAGATCAAACACCATGTATTAGATGACAGATAGCGACAATAGATTATGATTTGTTTGCTCTACCAACACAAATCATTCTGTAACTAATGGGACTGAACTGTTGCCTAGCTCACATAAATGTTCCTGCACAATAGTATGAGCTAACTAATACGTCTAGCTAGCTAGCTAATACGTCTAAACTAGGTCTATAGTCAAGCCTGAATTATGGCAGAGCACTTGACACTTTTGAAGAGTATCACTCAACAGATATCAAAAAGTCTCACATAATTTTCAATTCATGCTTCAGCAAAAGGCTTATGTTATCTCCATGATAACACCCTGCAGAGACCCCCTACGTTTTTTTACACTATGAGTCTGTTTCTGTCACATTCAGTTAAGCGGAATCTGGACAGACAGCTGTGGAAATCAAACAACATCCTGCTATATATGTGTTTTAATTTATCCGCTCCCAGTCTGTCTGTGAGAGGCAGATTCCCCTCTCTGCCTATAATGGGCTGAGAAATAAAACCAATGAAACAATCAATACAAACACTGTTGATTCCTTCCTGTGCGGCTGACATGAGAAACATTTTGGTTCAGAAATGTCAGCTGTCAGTCAGCCTGGTGAAGGCAGTTTGGCCGGCCGCTGTCCTCTCAGCTCCGCAGGAGCTGCTGCTGACAGACGGCTGCTTCTGAGGACAGAGATGCTAAATGCAGGTCAGAGTCGGTGTGGATTGAAAACTACTATCTCCATAACATAATTCAAGTCAGTGGCATGTCTTAAAATATGTCCATCTTTCTGGTGCTGTTACAATCTAAGGTAATGTTTGATAACAACCAACTGGTAATGTAATTAACAGTTTAGAACACCTATAAAGTGGAGTGATACGTGTAGTTAAAAGTCCCAGTGATGCTATACTCTATACCAGCCCTCATGGAATGGGTCTCGTCCAATCAAATTACTTGCTCCAAACTAACTGTTGTATTATGTCGACTAAGGTTGCTGTAAACCTTGCACTCTCAAGCAGCACATTAACAGTTAAATTTGATCAATGAGACTCATCGACCAACATATAAAGCTGCTTGCTATGGAAGAACACAGTGTTCTCTCACTGTCAACACACTTGAACCCAACACACCCATTCTATACTTAACTTGGCCTTTACCAGTCATCTAAAAACTCATGAGTATCTGGCAGATTATTAAATCTATCAGACATTGGCAACAACATGAAAAACCTTTAATTTCCCACCAGGGATCATATTGCTGTGGACTAATTGCTCCAAACCAGTGGGCTGTTTTGGAAATCTACCAAAGAACAACCATCAGACTGGTCAAACTGAGCAAGACTGCTGTGTTGTCATATGGCCAGACAAGCCTGAGGGGGATAATATGAACAACGGGGCAGGCAAACATCTTAGGAGGTTAATTTCTCCTTGTGCACGGAGAGGACAAAGAAAAATAAAGGAGGCAAAGATCAAAAAACATAATTGAGGAAAAGTACTGTTGATAAGGAAGGAAAAGAAAACCAAAGCCTCCCATTAATGTAATGACTTTTCCACAACGTTCTATAATTAAGTCAGACCACTAACATTATCTGAAATGTTCTTTCCCTCCCAGCTTGCTAATGTTGCTTATTTCCAAAAATCACCATTTAATTGCAAAGAACTTGGTAAAACACTTCACAGCGGAAAACCCACTAATATCACCAGATTTTTTTTTTTTTTAGGTTAGTAACCCCCAGCGACGATACTCTCATCAACAGCCAGATTACTGTGAGTAGTCCACTAAAGTCAGAAATCACGGGACTACTGAGGGACTCTGCTGCCACCATAACGGGAAGGTGCCGTAAAGTTTAAGTGGTGCAAGATCTCCTATTATCCCCAGGAAGGCATTCAAATTCACGGCAGCCTCGCTCAGTGGGAGAACTCTCCCGGCTCCCAAGGGATTACACTGCACAAATGTCAGAGATAAAGGGATGGGAAAACACACATGAAGCAGCAACACTTGACATTTACCATCGGCTGTGGTTGCTCTGCTGACTACACTGTTTCTTAAATCATCTGACCTTTAAGCTTCTTGGTTTTTAAAAAGAGGAGCATTTTTTTCCCCCGGAAAGTTGACAAATGCAGTGATCGACAGTTTTGACCCTTTCAACAGTCTGATGACTGCAGTCCATTTATGCTGCTTTTTGCTCATGAGACATTTCAAACTCTGTTGCATACATAAGATATATTATAACCACTCTAAAACAGAGTGACTGAGAGAAGCTCTTATGGTTCAGACATCTTAAAAAAGATAGGAAGATAGAAAAGGTGTAGGAGTCGTGATGCATTCTATACAGTCAGCTATATGTTGCCTTAACATTTTGTGTTCTCCATAAAGGACTTCCTGAAATAAATCAGTAATTCAAGTCAAATAGTCCTTTAACATCTACACAGACTGGCTTTGGGCAAAATATCAAGCTCACCACAGTGCACAGGGGGGTTACTCTGTAAACTCACAGGAATGTCAGTGTTGCAAAATAAATAAGAAAACAGAAATACTAAATCGAACTGAACAAATAAATCAGTTTTGGGAGCAAGTGAGTATTAGAATTGCTTCATAGCTCCAACAAATAGTCTTTTACATTTGGGCTTTTCTCTCCAAGAGGCTGAATTTTGGGGCATTATTGAGGAGCTGAGGTCAAAATGGAAAAACAAAAGACAAACTTTCTACTTGAAAAGACAAATCTCATCTTTAACATGGCAATCTGGCTTCTCTGACCTGAAATAATGATGCACCAAGGCCAATGTTAATATATTTTATATTATCCTAAAATGTATGTTAATCACTTGTTTTGAGTTTTCTTGGTGGTATAATTTGAAATGTTTTTTATGCAAGGACCTATTCTCCCAAATATGAGGACAGAATATTTTACTGACTGTATTTGAAGGAAGGAAAAACAGGTCCGGAGCAAAGTCTACCAAAAACTCCAGTCGCAGCATCTTGATGGCTTATTGGTTATTCAGAACAGTGTTATTCCAGCCTGAAGTGAATACAAATCACACTAGCCAAAGACACACACACACACATATACACACATACACGTACACACCTTCTCTAGGGACTGGAGCTGTTCTCTCTGTCTTTCATCCAGCGCCTGGCTCTGGCTCTGCAGGGACTCCCTTTCTTCTTCCATCCTCAGCACTTTGTCCTTCAGCCGGCTCCGCTCGTTGTCCAGGTCCCTGATGGCTGCTTCCTGGGTCATCTGGGTGGCCTGCAGGCTGCTTATCTGACCTATGACGGGACAGAGTCAACAAACATGAGCAGAATGCAAAGAGTAAAGCGATGTCATCTGCATACTGTCATTCTAAAATGTAAAAATAGAAAAATACAGAGGGAATAATAAATAACGGCCTGTTTATAATGTAGTCTGTTTCAAATGAAGCTGGTAGCCTCTGCAGTTGTGGTGAGTAAAAGCCCCAACACTATTGTTCATATTTTATTACTTTATATCCTCCATTATGAAGAAATAACATTATTTGCAAGCCTGATGCTCAAGGTAGTACTCACCGGGTTGCTAAAGTGCCTCTGCTGTTTAGGCCATAATTTTTCCCTTTTTACTGTGTCATGGTAACATCTCTAGAGGAAATATCAATAAAACTGGGGTGTTGTTCTCGTACAGCTGTCTACAACAGCAGATTGATCGAGTGACGGCTAGACTTTCTGTCGGGACTTCATGAGGTGTCCCAGATGTGGCATTGGTTGTCATCTACTATGACACACTACACGAGATAAAACAATGGATTATTGCGTATGACACTCGTCGTTCACGATCCCAGCCGACACGGTATGATGCTACATCAGGCTATAATCGGGCTCATATTGTGTAGCGTGTACCCAGCATTAGCTTTCTGTTTATCTGCATCCATACACAGATATCTGTTTATGGAGATTAGCCAAAAAGTTGTCTCGCTCTGTCTCCAGTTGCTGAAGGGACTGTAAACAATGATCGCTGCACAAAAAAGAAAGTATTGCCCCACATATCTGTTGGCAACACCAGAACCCCTGAACTATTAGCAGTTGCCCTCAGAGGTAAAGTTATCTTTTGACCAATAGCCAATAAGTTCCAAAAATGTTCATGACTGTAGTGAGGTAGCTAGCTATGCAGGACGATGTTGCTGACATTCTTAATTCTGCCTGCAAAGCTCTATTGGTTGATTGATTGATTGATTGTCTCACCAGATCCATTTGAATCACTCAAAAAATCTGAGATGTGGGTGCAATTCCAAGATCTGGAACCAGGCTTAAATTTGCTTTATGTAGTTTTGGATATTGTCTCTATTCATTATAAAATCTGAACCAGTCTGAAAGGGCAAAAAACACAAGCACTGAGAGATGCCCAGGTCAGACCAATTTATTAGCAAGATGAAAACAATGATGAGAGATAAAATTACTACCCAAACTGCTGGTTGTAAGCATCCACCACAGTTTACCGAGCAACCTCCTGGTTAAACGTTGACCTATTGCACTTGCTGCAGATCAGCACACACAGTCATGACTGCTCTTGCCCCATCAAACACCGATGTAGCAATGTTCCCATGGTTTAAGATATCGGCAGTTACTTTAGTGACCAACTGAAATGATAGTCAACGCTACAAAAACAGTAGCTGTAATAACTGGAATTTCCCTTTAATATAAATGGCTACCAACACTTCAAAACCAACCAACCTACCAAAGGAACCAAAAAACAACTTCTGGTCCCTTTACAGTTAAATAAATGAGGAGCTTTGACCTGCACTAACTCGTTAACATGACAGTCACAGTTATGATCACCAGCTGGATCGTATCTGTCCTCTTCACATGCAAACAGCTCCAGTGTAAAGTGGTGAAGCATTCTCCTTAGGCATGAGGAGCTCATAGGAACTAATGGGCCGAGCATAATTCTTCACCGAGTTACAAAGCACTGACGGAGAGACATCACAAGAAATTAAATCAGATTCTAACATGCGACAATGTACGCAACATGAGTGCACACAAACACTCACACTACAAACTGGGCATAATTGATGTGAGAATGGTTTCTCCTGCCCGAGAGGGACTGGGAATACCATGAGCTGAGACATACAGCATTACTGTACGCCATTAAAATGTTCCAGGCCATGATGCCTCAGACAAGATGAGAGAAGCTGTTAGTGGATCTGTTTGATGTGTTTGCATGACAAGCCCAGGAAGTGTCTTGTGGGTAGTGTGGGTGCGAGAATTCATGAGCATTATGAGTACCATTTGAGAGAGGAGAAAGGTCTTACTGGCTTTGAGCAGTATTTCAGTTGCTTGCTGCTGAACGCGATCTCTGGCTGCCTCGAGTTCACATTCTGCTTCCTTCTGACGGATCTCCACAATTTCTGAGTTCTGGGTCACCTCATCCAGCTGCTTGGTTAAGTCCTGGAGAGGCACAGAACAAAGGAGATGAAAGAAAACTCTGTTAACAGACACAGTTGAGTGGCAGCCATACCTGACTTCCATGACAAACATTACATAGAAGAGAACAAAGTAGTCGGACCACTGTTTCAGTGAGTCTTGCACATGAACTGATTGATGTACATTCTGGTCAATCAATGAGTGAAATTATGGAACCATAGTGACTTAAGATTTTGGCATTAAAATTAAATCATGAACTGAAAAAGGAAACATTGGCATCGAAGCATTTGTATTCAAAAACGTTATATTGCCACTAAGACACGGGCATTAAAAATGGGATGAAGGAAACACCCACATGCTCTTGATAAGTAAATCAAACTTGAGTTAATTTACTATCATTACTATGTTACAATTAAGTTGTGACTGCATAAGTTGTAGCTGTTATAATTTGAAGCCAACAATGAGTTTTCAGACATATCGGGCTGCCATAGCTGGTATAGAATGAAGCATATTGGTGACATATTACTAATACTGAGGATCAGGAATGTAAATGCTGACTGCTGCTCAATTAATAAGAACCAGACTTCAGGGAGGGATTTGATGTGCTCACACACAAAAGCGAGAGACACACACAGTACAGTAGCTGTGTGATTTAGCACTCTGTAGGAACTTATGAGAGGCAATTTCACATCTTTCAATCCCATCAAACGGCCTGCCTCAAACTTAATTACTGCTGCTACGGCTAAGACAAAGAAACCTCAGTGTGATAATAACCACCGAGGAGTCACACACAAATTAGATGTGATGTAACGTGTGCGTGTGTGTGTGTGTGTGTGTGTGTATGTCTGTGTTAGACTGTGTGTGTGTGTGTGTGTGTGTGTGTGTACTGATTTCCCAGATGGGCCCAAAGCAGGTAGCTACACGTTGTGACTACTAGTTTTAGATAAGGCATATATAAAGAGAGACAGAGAGAGTGTATGTCCGTCTTGTACATCTTTGTGAGGTCCGACTGGGTTTCAGACCTTGAGGGTTACACTTTTTTTGGAAAGTGAGACATTTTGCCCAGTCCTCACTTCTTCAAAGGGTTGTCTAAGGGTTAAGACTTGATTTTAGGGTTAGGGTTTAAACTAATGAGAGAACTGGCCCACATTGTGAGGTGTATCTCATAGTGCATAGGCACAGATAAAATAATATAACACTCCTCCAAATATAAAGCAACCTTAAAAGAACTTAAAGCAAAATATTACAAGGGTGCCGATAAGGGCTTAGGGTTGGGGGAATAAAACAATGGTCCAGGTCTCTGCTTGTCAGAGTGTTACTCATATGGCCTCCCCTCCAGGATGTGAGCAGGCTCGACCTGGCTTCAGTTTTTGTCAGAGTCGTATTTACTTGCTGGTGAGCTGCTGGCCCCCTATGATGGCAAATCGGAGCTGGTTAAGGTCAGTGTGAGGGTCAGGGTTGTGCATGTTGTTGTTAAAATGAGGTTAAAATGATGTCCCAAAGGGTGCTCTCAACTATGGTGTATAAACATGTGTGTCTATGTATTCTGGTTTGTCTGTCTATATGAGGACCAGTGTGAGCTTTAGATCCAAAGGAGGACAATTTTAAGAAGTAAAGACTTTTTGAAAAGTAAGGACACTATTCGAAAATAAGTACAATAAATCCAGTCCTGAGCTGTTTGAGGGCTAAGACATGGTTGTTAGCATGGGTTGAGGTTAGAACTAGATTAAGTTTAAGTAAAAATGATGTCATTGTCTTTGTTAAAGTTATAATGCATTACTCTAAGACACTTCTGAGTGGAGTTGTTACAATAATGATTACTGATATCAGAAATGCCTCTGATACTTCCTAAAATGCTAGATCAGGCATTGGCAAGTATGCAGGTCTATGCACCGATCTGATACCATGGAAATTATTGATAAAAATGTAAGTAGTGTCTCAGACACGGATAAATCAGCAGTTTTCCTTGAAATCAGTTCTTCTTCACTGCTCAAAAAAAAGTAGTCTACACAGCAAGTTGTGCTGTGCAGCTACTGTTAACTACTGTTTTAGAACGGTAAAGAAGAACTGATTTCCACTAAATCTCCGTTCAAAATGTCAGCATTTTGGCAATATTTCACACTGGAGAGTCCCATCAGCAAAAAGGCAACATGTATAGTATGCAAGGCTTTAGTTTCAAGGGAGTGCCAATGGCGTTGCTAAATTGTGGCTGCATTTTTCAAAAGTAAATTGTTATTTATTCCTAAAATATAGTTTTCAAATGAGTGACAGTCAAATATAATAAAAGAAGTTATGTGGCATTCTTTGTCTGCTTGTATTTGTTCATATTTTATAAAGGTTTTAACTTGAGCCATGCCTTACAGCATGACAGCAATCATTTCACAGCCATACTGGGTTTGTAGTATACATAGGTTAGATTATTTTTCTTTTTGTCATGCAAAAATATCTGATCGATAATCAGTATCGGTGAACATGCAAGTTCAGGTATCAGAATTGATACTAAGAAGGGAAAGTGGTTTGGAAGAGAGAGGGGAAAGTGGATATATACTCTATTTAATCCTCACTTCTTCAAATGGTTGTTAGAGGTTGAGTATGGCATTATTCTAAACCTGTGTGTCTCTACTGAAGGCATCAGTCTTGACACAAATCTATAGTTTAATATATATATTTTTTAAAGATTTTCTTGGGTTTTTCTTTATTCGATGGGACACACTTAGGCATGAAAGGGGGAGAGAGTGGGGATGGCATGCAGTAAAGAGCCGCAGGCTGGAATTAAATCTACAGCCTCTGCAGTGAGGGCAGTGCCTTTCTGTGTGGGATGCCTGCTCAAACCACTGCGCCACTGGGCGCCCCATGCTTTCATATTTTTACCAGGACCAGTTATTTCCTGAAACACTTGGGAAATATAAAAGTAAATGTGCTCTAACAGGAATGAAAAGCACATTTGGTGGGAACTATTTCCAGCAACGGCTGGCGAACATACTCTCTCAATGAGGGTCCCCACAAGTGCAATGAACAAACATGAGTGTGTGTCTGAAGCTGAAGGAGGGGTAAAAATAGTTTAATAGTTTAATTAATTGCACCTCAGTTGAGTTATCTGGGCCAAAAGAGGAATCCTATTATTGACAGCATTTAGTCATTACCACTGATTCACCCCTCATCATATTTAAACAGTAAAATAAAGCAAACACGCAGAGCCTCACTTGTGTCAATCATCCTTATTGGACATGACTGAATCCTGCATTGCCATTTAAATATAAAAGGCCCTGAAAACTATGCTTTAGATGATTTATTGTTTTATCCTGCTAAAAGCTTCCCTCAGCCAGATAGGCTTTACCTGAGAGTGAAGTATTTAGTCCAAAGACAGTGACAGCAGTAATTTACCAAAGCTTCACTGGAGTATTTCACTTGGGGGATAATTTGTAATTTTTGGCGTGCATATTCCTACAGAAGCCTGTGAACAGTCAGCGATTAATTACGTCTGTCTCAGTTACTCTGAGCCATCATTTGCTTGCATTTCTCTGCAGATTTGCCTCCTAAATCATAAGCTAAAGAAGGATGACAGAGAACAGTGAAGCAGGGAGCTGTAGCATCCTGACACCAACTACAAGTGCTTTCGACTGGTGTTAAGTCGATATTTGATGCCACTATTTCTACCCGTGAAGTATGCCGCCGGTACAGTAATTATGCCTCCTGAGACTACAGAACATTTTGATTTGGTGCAACATTTTAATTTTCCAGAGTAAAAAGAAATTTAGTGAAGAGAGTCGCAAAATGTCACCCTGCTTGAGCAAAATGCTACCTTCCGGAAACCAAATGATGACTAACTATAGTCAAGAGGAGTAATGAGGTATGTGGAAGATCAAAACAAAGATATAAACATCTGTTGCGAGCTTGTTAAGGTTAAATTAAAATCTCGTATGTCACCGCAGTAGTTGAAGGACTAAGGGGTATGTTCAAAGACTGAGGCTGTTATTAAGAGATTACTGTGATATATTAGATTAGTAACAACACGTCAGCTACGTGCAGTATGAAAGGCGAGATCAAACTGTTTCTACCCTCTGATTTCTGTTTTACTGCCTTGAATCTTGTATCAAATGAGAGAATCTGGAGGAGCTGTCAAGTGAAGTTGGTTTCGAGCTCTCCGCTCGGTTGTCGTTTCTTTATCTGGGTTACAGTTAATTGCTCTGAAAAGGAATGGAAATATTAACTCCAGGCACACCAACCACTGCTGACCTTGATCATATTCTCTGCAACACTGAGAAGGGGGGGACCCCTTCCTGCCTTCTGTGCAATCAGTGATAATTTCACACAAACTTCACAGCATATCATAACAACAAAACAGACCTACTTAACCAATTCCCCCGGAGCATGTGTCAACTTCATTTTCAACGGTGGAGATAATGTCATGTGAGTGTACACCAAAGACCTTACAGAACTCAGAAAGTGGAATTTCAGAGAGATCTACTTGAAAAGAGAACACAGCATTGCTATTTTTGCCCGAAAACAAAATGCACTCATTACTGATTGGTAGGTGCTAAGAAACAGTTCCACACTGAAGGTGTTCATTTGAAGGACTCAGTTCTCTTTCTGGTCAACTTCAGCTCTGCTGGGGCCTCAGTCTTCTCTCTGTTCACACTATATATAACATATATTGACATAGTTTGGTTTTTAATTTGACATGGCACTGCAGTGTGATTATGAAGCCCCTTGCTTTCAGATGAACCTAAAATTGGAGGGAAACCTTAGTGTTTCTGTGCCATAGACTGTTGCTGTTTGATGTATTCTGCATTCCACATCTGGAGACGTGCAATATCTTCCGTGGACCAAAGTACTCTTCGTCCTGCGCCCTTGCAAGCATTACAGGCCAACATGGTTTCGTCTGATTTTTCAAGCGTCCCAGTGCAGTAGCATGTGATCTAGAGGGCTACATACAATGGCAAAGAGCAAAGCGAACTTGGAGCACTTTGTGATCACAAGGCAAGGGTTAAGTGAACCGCACTGCAGACTTGAAGCAAATCTCGGGGGGTGGTCGGAGTTTGGTTTGCTCCAGAGGGGTCTGAGTTCTCTTGGAGTGTTTGCTTATGCCCAAAAAATGCTGAGTCACCACTCTGAGTCCATTTAGAGGGCTGAAAAACACACTGTGAAAACACACGTAAATGGCTGTCGATCGTAGGCATGTCACGATAATTTGATAATCCAACATTTGTTGGATGATACGTTGTCCCACAAATAATTGCAATGACCAATATTATTATTAAGACCATTTTATGCCACTGATATAACTATAATATAATTATCATTCTTGGGAATATTCAGACATTGAATTTGGAATATGAAAAAATATTTAACATATTTTCAAGAGGTAATTAACACCTGTTAATATACAAAAGATAATACATTTATAGGAGTAGCCCAAAATTAGTCCGTTTGGGACTTAATACAAAATTTGGCCAACAAAAATAAAACCAAGTGATGCCTCTTTTGACTAATAGACAAGCTTAGCAAAGCTCTGGGAACACTGCAGTTACCTCCATGATAAAGCCAATGTGCTGCCGGGACAGACAGCCCAGGAGCCGGGAGGTTTGCTGGTGGATTTACGGAGTGGAAGATGAAGTTGTAGGAAGGTAGAATTACAAACAACAGACGTTTTAGCTTGTTGCCAGGAAATGGCAAACTATCGACTATCAGGACTGTGTCTCTTCCACTCCAAAAGTGCAGCTGCAGGCAACCAGTAAGCTACACTGTGTCATCTTTGAAATGTTTCATTTGTCTTTAGACTCGCACAAGCAATCAGGGTGGAGAGAGAAAAAAAGGTGAGAATCACTGCACCAAAGTCTTATAGTGGTCGGGGAAACCCTGCTGTTTGTTCTGGCATCATGTTTGCTAAAATGTTGGGGACATTTTTTTGAAATCAAAAACGCATGTTATAACTAATAGGCAAAATCGAGGTCATGTCCATAAATCAAAGGTAAAGTCGATATCATAATTATCCTGACAGGCCTATCTGAAGTAAAAATAAGCACCAAGAAAACAGCAAAATATTTGTGACAAATGACCTGGAAACTACATAAAACAACATTTTAAATTCAACATTCAGGTGCTTGGGGCACAGAAGACTGCATTAGAAAGAAATAAATAATAACTAAGATGATCATGACACAACAGAGTTTCTAAGTAAAGAGCGCAGATGATCTTCAACAGGTTCACCAGCAACCAAAAAGCTGTGTTTACATTTAGTCTGTCTTATCAAATGTGTTGTGTGTATCCCTCAGGTCTAACAAACATGTTGAGTGCATTCACTTCTCATAAAACATTTGCAAACCTATTTATTTTTTAATATTATATATCATGCACAGAAACATTCATGCTTTCTAGCCTGCAGTCTTCCTCTTTACTGCCTTCACTGCTGCATTGCTAAGTGTCTTTGCGTGTTAACGGCCCCAACTTTTAACAAGGGACTGGAATGTGTAATATGTTATGTGCCTACGCATGTGCATGATGCAAACGTGCACTCATAAAAACATTGCTCCATAGTGCTCACAGTTGTCAAACACTCCACATTAAGTTACCGATGGGAGGGGAGTTGGGACAAAAAGTTGACATAATGTAAACACTTGATGAATAAAGATCATTTTTACATAATAAAAATGGCTGCTACAGAACTGTTTGCTTGTAATAGATATAATTGATGTAAATAAAGGTGATGATAACTGGTTGGAACAAATGTGTTTGACTAAGCTCTCAAAGCAAAGTGTACTCTGCTGTGGATGTTTGATGTCTGGACAGAGGGTAATGTCAGATAAAACAGTTTGTTGAACATCCACCTTCTGGAATTTAATCTGTGAATTGAAGTATCAACACCAGGCTGAATCCATTTTATCTCATTTTTATCCCATATAACCATTTTATTTTACACACCCATTTTATCATCTATTACAAGGGACAAATTTTGTAGGCTTCCCATAAAAACTGCATCAGAATACAGCCAATCACAGACTTTGTTCCATTAAATTACAGGATGTTCTGGGACTGTCCTTTTTAAAGTTTATAGTCCAGTCATGGCACAAGCATGTGACTTTAAAGATGCCGATGTGTTTGAACCAGCTGTTGGAAGCTCAGACTCACCTTGACGGTGCTCTCAGCTGTGTTGAGGGACGCCTGAAGCTTGTGGGACTTCTCCCGGTTTTCCCGAGCTTCGTCCGATACCCTGGCCAACTCGGCCCTCAGTTTGCCGAGGGTTTTCTGGAGCGCCGCCTCCTGAGTCTGGAATTCCCGCCGCAGCTCGGCCTCGGTGCGTTTCCATGCCAACAGGTTGTCGGCAGTCAGCTGCTGAGTTCTCTTCATGGCCTCCAGCTCGCGCTCGTAAAACGCCTGAGCCTGGGGACAGACAGACTGGTGTGAAAAAAGCACCTTAATCCAAAACAGATTAATGGAAGTATAAAACAGAAAGCCTCTAGCACGGACACTGTGCTTTATCTTCTTTGCTAACTTTGACATTTTTCACTCTTCTTTCTGAAAAATTGGATTGCAACCGGAAAACATATTGGACGGTTTGAAAAGCTTTCTCATCAAAATGCATTCTAATGCATAAACAACCAATGCAGACAAAATTTGAAGCCAAAATGTTTTGGCTGACGGCGTTCATTGTCAATGAGGATGTTTTTCTGTTGAAATTAACATCTTCTAAACGCAGTACAATTTGCTGTACACAAATCTGCAGATCACAGCCTCCAATTTCAGCAAGGTCAACAAAGCTGTGCCAATAAATGTAATTTTGGTTCTTTCTCAACCATTACTTTCGGCAGCAGAGCCTCTTTTACTTTACAGCACCATTAGGTGTTCCTTTGTTGTGCTACAAAAAGAAATAAAAAGCAGTGTTTTAAACAGCGAATTCTAATTACATTTTACTGATGTTTTTATTCAACAAAGGCTGATAAGCGATCTCAGTGGAATTTCAGAGATTTTAGGGTTCAGGGCAGATTCGGAAAGTTCAGTAAACAGGAGCATAATTTGAGGCTTGAGGTTTGTGTCCCAGGTTTCAAAGCAAATACATAATCGTTCCACCCTCAATATAATAAACAATACATTTGCATTTGATGCAAGTTTATGTATAAATGTATTTACGTTATAAAATATGCCTGTTTAGACCTGCATAGATGTAACAAGAGGCTAATACTCCACCACAGGAAATATTACCCAGGTTATCTACAGTGTGTCCAAGCAATCTACAGTAGCCACAGTAATGTACCTTGCTGAGTTTAGCCTCGTACTCCTCCACCAGCCTCTTCTTGTCCTGTTTGAGCTCCTCCACCCTCTCCGTCAGGGAATCAACCTATAACACATCAGCACGACAGGAGAAAGATAGCTCATGTTTGGTGAAGTTTGGGGCAATCAAAAACAAAAGGCTGTCTTAAAGCTGGGGTAGGCAGTTGAATTTTGGCATCATCAGGTAAAATCCCAAAATAAAGTTTGAGCAGATTGTAATTCAAGTGCACTGAGAGAACTTCAACTCCTCTTGGCTCTATTTTCAGGCTCAAGAAAATCTAGGCTGTGAGGGGAGACTTTGGCCAATCACAGTTCATTTCAGAGAGTGGGCATTCCTATTGGCTGTTCTATATGCATGTTCACATCCCTACAGTGAAAGCGTGATTCAATGGCGGAGAATCCTGCAGAAAAAGTTGCTATCCCAGCATTGGCAACAACTGCTTACACTGCAAAGAGACCCAAAAAGGAAGACGGACTTATTAAAAAGAGAACCTACCTGAGAGTCTGCAGATAAAACAGCAAAGCACATGTCAATATCAGCAAAGTGTTTCAGAGATGGAGCTAAAATGTTACTAATAGTTTAGCCTTCTGCTAACCAGAGCTAAAGACTCATGTCTAAAGCAAATTCAAGTTTGTGTTTATGTAGCTAATGTAAGCTGGAGCCTCAAATCAAAAACCTTTCTTACACCGAAATTGCCCTCTTTATGCGGCCTTTGCATTTTTACACAGAGCGAAATGCTCCAGTGTAGGATTACAGACAGCATCCCGGCATCTTGGAATCAAAAGAGGCCTGATGGGCGTGACATGTAACATCAGAGCATCGGCCTCAAGACATAAAACACATGCAAAATATAGAAATAACAAACAATTACCGTCACAGTTATATACTGGCTGATCTTGTCCTCCGCTAGGAAGGTAGGGAGCTCCTGAATCTCTATGTTTTCCCAATTTGCAGACATTTACTGCCACTGTTCTTCTTCTTTAAGTTAGCCACTAACTGCTAACAGCTACATTTTAAATCTTTAAATTGTAGGTTGCAGGCATAACAAGTCGTAAAAAAAAACATCACAGCCATCCTGCCCATGGCCCCGTCCTGTGGCTGTCCTGTTCATACAGACACCATTTTGGCACTGTTACGATCTCCTGTGGCGGATTAAAGGTGACACCACAGCGAGGTGATGCAATATTCCCACCTTGAACAGACAGTGTAAAAGGGGCTATAGTGCATCCTCCGCCTCGCTCCCTGCAGCTACAGACCACACCACCAGGAGGAGAGTGGGCTGCAGCTCCAGAGATAGACCCCCAGTCGGCAGCTGCAGCAACACAAATCCAGCCAGCACAAACCGCAGTTCAGGGGCAACCTGCCAGCCTGACTCCCTCGCTCATCAGCAGTATTTCTGTTGCTGCTTTTAAACACATAATATCTGACACTGCTGCTGGCCAACAGCTTGCTGTGATGCAAGCCACTTGGGGGGTTGCGCTGCCTGAATTAAAGCTGCTACAGCAGCCGACCGAAGGTCCGGATCTACTACCCGCTCTCAAGTAGTCCACAGTGGCAGGGAAGTGAGGCAGAGGGACTGTGGGCTGGCTAGCTAATTCTTGTTTCATCTGTGGTCTGATAAACAGAGAGGGAGCTCTGAGGCGTGTGCCAATGCCTGTGGTCTTTTGGTGGGAGGGGCTTAGGAGAGAGAGGGGGGGAGCTGCAGGAGGAGAGTGTTTTCAAATTCTGCCATTTTTTTTCTGCCTCCTCCAGCTTTAATAATTTGGTGTAGAGAGATAAACACACTTTAAAATGTGTACAATGTTGTAGTGGCAGTGACCTTACATACGTAAAGAAACAATTGGAGTTGATATAGCAGGTTAACTCACTGACAGTTTATAAGGTAGTAATCACAGCTGTCCCACTTTTTTCTGACCCCCCCTGTTGTGATTTAGTTTGTTGCTTTGGCTTTCATTTCTGCTCTATTTTCGCAGTCGTGAGTGTGTTACCTCGGCTTTATGGAGCTGCCCCAGTTTCTCCTGGTCTTTACTGTAGTTTGCGTTCTGACTCTGGTGGCTGCGGAGGAGCTCCTGGATCTCCTGTCTGTGCTGGGCCTTCAGCTCCTCCAGAGCAGCCCTCTTCTCCTGCTCAAACTGGGTCTGGGCCTGGCTGAATGTACGCAGCTTGTCCTCAAAGGACCGTCGCATCTCCTCCACCTCCCTTGACATGGACACCACACGCTGCGTGTGCTACCAAAAAAAGACAGGAATGAAAGACTGAGTGGACAGGAGGATTGCTTTATGGGTTTGAAGGCTTCTTACACTGTGGGTTAACTTTTTAAACAGCTCTAAGCCAGGTGGTGATGTATCAGCTCGGGGGAATTTGACCTTCTGGCTGCCAACCTGTCTGCTTTAGCACTGACAACCAGCAAACCCATTAAATAGAAAACCATTCATGTAGCATTTTCTCCAATCAACCGGGTGCATATTGAGACTGATATTCAATATCAGTGACTTCAAGGATGGTCTCTACATTCACAGTATCACAAAGCAGGCAAGGAACATGATAAACATCTCCCCGGGCCAGATTTACATTTACAGATTTACGCCTTCTTATTAAATTTGCCTGCACAGTCTGAAATTAGCACTCATTTACGAAGCCAGCAGATAATTACACAATCAGCGACTCGTGTTAACTACTCAGTGCAATCTGTACCTGAAAACATAAGCTCAAACGGTTCATTTGAGTGGTGAATTCTGTGCAACATAGAGCCCTCAACCAGCTCTGGAACAGAATAATGTTCATTTATTTGTATTTTGCTGATACTGAAAATGAACTACTGATAAAGTTACTAAAATGTGCATGAGCTTCAGTCTGATTGTACGTTCTTTTGTTGATTGGCACTCAAAATCATCCATCCATTCCTTTTTACCCAAACACAGAGCTGCACATCCTCTACCCTCTGTATGTGAATCAATACAATGTCATCCATCTGTCTATCCATCCTGAATCGATTTGTAACAATGCTCACTGTCCATACATCCACCCACACGCACACACAAGGGAAAGGTCACATACACTGGCTTATACACTTGACTTATATACTGTAAGTCCAAACACAATCTGTTGTCCCGATATATAACAGACAAGGCAGAAGCTTTGCACTCCTCTGCTGCTAACTACAGCAAAACAAGGTAGGCTGTGTTTAATTTTACTTCGTTGAACAAAAAAATTAAACACAACACTTTTGTTTTGGCTCCCATTTTTTTCCCACAAGTTTAAGTTAAAGATCTAAGACTTTTTCACGTGTTCAATAGATAAGTAAGCACTTCTCCTTTTTCAAGATAATCCATCCTCCTGAAAGGTGTGTAAATAAGCAGGTGTGCATTGGGATGGTCACAATAAAAGGCCACTCTAAAATGTATAGTTTGGTCACACAACACAATGCCACAGATGTTGCAAGTTTCGAGGGACTGTGCCATTGGCATGCTGACTTCATGCTGACTCCATCAAAGCTGCTGCCTGTGAAGTGACTGTTCATTTCACTACTCTACTATACTACTTTTACTATTCTACTATACTCTACGATCTCCAATGTGGTTTCCCTTAATTTGGCAGTACATCCAACCGCCTTCACAACAGCAGACCAGGTGTAGCCACACCAGCCAAGGACCTCCACATCCAGTGTCTCCACTTTTAGGATGACCTAAGACCAGCCAGTGGGAAAGCTGATGCAACAGCTGATGACCAAAGTCATTTTCCTAAATTTGGCAGTACATCCAACTGCCTTCACAACAGCAGACCAGGTGTAGCCACACCAGCCTAGGACCTCCACATCCAGCATCTTCACCTTCACGATGGTCTAAGACCAGCCAGTGGGAAAGCTGATGCAACAGTTGATGTCCAAAAGTCATTTTCCTAAATTTGGTAGTACATCCAACCAGCCTCAGAACTGCACAAGTCGATTACAATGACAAACTGCTGTCAGGTCAAGACCCTGGTAAGGACAATGAGCATGCAGATTGGCTTCCCTGAGACGGTTTCTGATGGCTTGTGCAGAAATTTTTCAGTTGAACAAACTAATCAGCTGTCTGGTTTCAGATGATCTTTAAGGTGAAGACGCTGGATGTAGAGGTCCTGGGCTGGTGTGGCTACACCTGGTCAGCTGTTGTGAGGGCAGTTGGATGTATTGCCGAATTCAGGGAAACAAAACCGGAGACGTCTTATGGTAGTGAAATGAAAATTCAGTTCACATGCAACAGCTCTGGTGGACATTTTTGCAGTAAGCATGCCAATGGCACGCTCACTAACACGGATTTTAACAAATTAGCAACTAAAATCTGAGAGAAATATATCTATTAAGTGCATGAAAAAAATCTTAGATTCTTAACTTAAACCTGTGAAAATGGGGGCAAATACAAAAGTGTTGTGTTTAAATTTATGTTCAATATCTTAAGTTTGTTTTAGGAAAGTTAACTTTATAGTCCCTATGAGTGGGAATAAATATCTCATAAGGTGCCAGGTTGGCACCAGAAGAGGAGGGACAAGACTTTTAGTCCCTCCACATTTTTGGTGTTATGATATTGTAACACCTGGTCTGGGTTTAGGGATTAGACAGACTGCATTATTGAAGGTGGGTGCATTAGAGGCTGTGACAATTATGGCTCATCACAGTCACTACTTTCACCTTCTTTAATCATGGAGCTCTCCCCATTATGACACCCTAAAAGTTTGGGAATCTTGTGGAGAGTTTTCCTCATAGGAAAGGCATTGTTCTCTGAGACTTTGGATGGAAATTAATCTTAAACTTCAGTTTAGATCCTGAACAATCTTTATCACTTCATGTTGCTCATCACAGCCTCACATCTACCTGTATTATGAGTAAAAATGTGGAGCTCCAGGCAACATTTTGGCCAGCCTCGTTTAAAAAGAAATGACGTGCGCAGCCATTACCCCGGTCACCCACTGTTAAGGATGACACAGGGTGAAAGACTGACAGGAATGGACAGTCCTGGGGGAGTTATAAATGGAGCGAGAACTTTTCAGTGACTAACACTTTTGTGGAGCTGTGTGACCTGTTTTTACCTGACCTGTCTGTCTCTAACATGCTTTTGATATGCTAAAAATAATAGGATAATTACACCATGTTCGATGTGCACATAAGCACAGAGGGCAATGCTGTTATTTTACAACAGTATGATACAGGTTACAGCTGTGGCAATAAGTTGGATGTCCAGACAAACACACAGTGGTGATGCTGACAGGCAAGTGAGACTCTCCAGCCTCTCAACAGGGGACAGACATTCATACTGATTACCTGCAGCTGTGACTGCAGCATAATGCCAGGCACCACTGCCTCTTAACCCACACACACTCTCTCTCTCACACACACACACACACACACACACACACACACACACTGCATCATTCTTCTGTCTACCTGAGCCTCAGTGCAAAGCTGCATGTCCTCCACCCTCTGACGGTAGCTCTCGAACTCAGCCAGTGCCTGTCTCTTCATCCTCTCGTGGAGCTCCATGGACTCCTCCAGAGACTGGATCCGCCTCTTCAGGTCCATCTCATCACTGATCTTGCTCTTGTACTGTTGATTTAATCAGGGAAAGTATTTAGAGATTGCATCTGACTGTGCAGCAGAACACACACAAAAAATCAAGGGATACATGTGCCAGATTGTCTGGGCGGAAATGCAGTAGGTCCACTGAACTTCATTGACATCTACAAACACATTTTATGTAATTTTCTGACAAATAAGCTACAGTAACATACATTAAAGAAAATATATAATTATGATATATATAGTCTTCTTGGTGACAGTCAATAAAAAAACATGGCATTCTGATTTCTTAAATAGGTTGGCTGATGTGCATAGACTTTAGCCTTGGCTTTGAATTAGCTCATTATGATACTCAAATCAAAATGAAAATTAAAAGACTAAATAGGTACACTCACTGCAGTTCAATTTATTATATTTAATTCAAAGCACAACACTGGGCCCTCCCTCCTGGAAGACTTTGTGGAGAAGTATAGCATGTAAATGTCTTTTTATATGTGTTCTGCTGTTCAAGGTTATTCACATCGCTGTCAGGGAGTAATTCCCATAAGGAGAGATGACATATAGACCTAAATAATTAATATTCGGTTGATTAAATATTGATGAGCTCCTTCTGAATGTGATCTCGACTCTGTGGCTCTCCAGTGGATCAGCTGCCATGTGATAGTGTGCAGCTACAGTGCAGAGAAATACAGTAGTTTACTGCAGCTGTAGATGACTGTGAGATACACAATGATGCCGTCTCATGTTGACTGACTGACCCAGATGTGACCGCAGTGAGTCCACTTCTAAGGAGTCCCTTTGGCTTGTTTTAATATTCATGAACTGTAAATAATTCTAAAAGTTATACTGTTGTTATTCCTCCAAGGAAGCAGCGATTGACGACAATACTTATTTAAATTAATGTTAATTTACAACCAGCAGTGTAAAGCAACTAAGTACACAATGTCCACAATTTTGAGGTACTTATACTTTGCTTAAGTATATATTTTTATTTATGCTACATTATACCTCTACTCAACTGCATGTCACAGGCAAGTTTTGTTCTTCTTACATCAATATATTATTTCTGTGTGGAGTTTGCATGTTCTCCCTGTGTCAACGTGGGTTTTCTCTGGGTACTCCAGCTTCCTCCCACAGTCCAAAGACATGCAGGTTAATTGGTGACCCTAAATTGTCCGTAGGTGTGAATGTGAGTGTGAATGGTTGTCTGTCTCTAGGTGTCAGCCCTGTGATAATCTGGAGACCTGTCCAGGATGTACCCTGCCTCTCGCCCAATGTCAGCTGGGATAGGCTCCAGCCCCCCCACGACCCCTAACAGGATAAGCAGTTAAGGAAAATGAAAATGAATGAATGAATATATTATTAATGACTAAACCTTACCCAGCAGGAACATTTAAGTGATATGTGCATTAATCTATCAGTGTTAATGTAATGATATTAAACTGTGATATACATTATTCAGAAATGGACCATTATGCGTAATGAGGACTTTTACTGTTGGCACTTTAATTTATATTTTGATGCTAATACATATGACCTTTTGCTTAGGTGAAATTTTAGTGTTTTTACACTGTGGTAAAACTACTTTTACTCATAGGGAAACTCCTCCATTTTGTTGTGTCTAAGTGACTAATGGAGACAACAGTTTTTGAAATTGGTCCAGTATTGGGAGAGGCTGCTCCAGCTGCAGCAACAAAACAGGCTGTGATGTGATCACTATGGGCAATTGTGCACTGTCAATGCACGTTCACTGAAAATGCTTATTTTTGCCACTGACAGACTCAGATTGTTATTAGAAGTGTCTGATAATATTGTAGAAAAGAAGAAATAAACTTTTTTTTTCTGATATTTTCTTGATCTGTTCATTATTGTGACCAAGTCTTGCTTATGGAAAAGCCTCAATATGGAATCTTGCGAGAAGTGACTTGTTGCAGGGAAAACATCGTTGGCAATGTTAATGAGAGTTGGAGAGAGGGGTGCTGAGAGTAGGTTGTTGTTTTGGAGTACAGAAAGCACAGCTTAGTGTCCAGTATTTAACTGATTTACCTAATGTTGAAAAGTCTGCATGATTTCAGAACGTCAGGCTTCTCCTTCAGCAAGACTTGGTTCCACAAACTAACAAACAGACCAGAGCTTCAAAAGGTAAGGAAAAACATTTCATTTCTCTGTAAGGATCCTTTCAAATAATGTTGTCGGACATTTGTAATAACAATCTTGAGCTTGTCAGTGGCAAAAACAAGCACTGTTAAAGGATGTAAATTGATGTAGCACATGGGATTACATAGTAGGGATTACACTGCAGCCTGTGTCACCACTGTGGGTCTCTTAGTACTTGAGCAATTTCAAATATTGTTGTCTCCATTAGTAACATAAGCCCTTTTAATAGAGATCGTAGGGCTCCTATGAAGTCCCTTCTTCAGGTTGCCTTTGCATTTATCACAGAGAGCCATATGACAGTGGCATCATGCTGACATTACATAATCAAAAAAGGCGTGACAGGCATGACCTGTAACATATCAGCTATGTTACTGGGTTAACATATAACATATGTGTCAGCAGGGCTTTATGAACAATAACAATGGCATAACGTGGCAATAACAATCAATTATTGTCCCCGTTATATGGCTGCTGATCTCGTCCTGTGCTCTGAAGATAAGGAGCTCCTGCACCTTGTTCTTTAAGTGAGCCACTAGCTGCTATCAGCTACTTTTTAAATCTCCCGTGGTGGGTTGCACGCATGACACATCATCAATATGTCGCATCCCTGCCTCCTATGATCCCGTCCTGCCAGCTGTCCCATTTACACAGCCATCGTTTCAGCGGTGTAACTACCTCTGTTCCAGGCTTAAAGGTGAGACAGCTTTGTCCCCACATCCTGCAATTGTACCTTTTATACAGAATGGTGAGGCAGCATAATAGTGCCATATTCCTGTCTTGAACAGGCAGGGTAAAAGAGGCTTTGCACTAAAAACAGGAAATTATAGTTAACAACTCACGAACAAGGTACAGATGATTTAACTCAGAGAACATTAACGTCATATAAACATATTCAAAATTACAATTAATGTAAAGACCTGTAGTATCTTCTCCCGGGTCTCGGAGAGAATCTGCTGCACCTCCTCTTCATGGGCCTCCTTCAGAGTGGCGATGGCCGCCTCGTGTTCGTCGTTTTTTGTGTTCAGTGCATAGATAACCTGCAGCAGAGAGGAGAGAAACCCATTAGCTGTCAGACATGTTCACAATCAGGAGTTATTGCGGTATTAAAACTGGTGGGGGACCAGCTGCACCTCTAATGTCTCGGGTTCAACCAGCATGGAACGTTAGGACTGCTGTGTTAGATGTATTTTGCTTAAAAATTGAAAGGGAGACTACAAATGAAACAGCAGGACATCGTAGCGACAGGGTAAAGTAGGGAGATATGAAGATGAATGAGGGTTGACACTGATGTCGACGCTTGATACCTTTAAATTCATTCTTTGTAGGATAGAAAACCTTCTCAGCCAGCATTTGCACTGTCAAGTCCTTTACTGAAAAACATCATAAAGAATTCTAATTATGTGTCAGAGTTGGTACTCGACTTAAGGGAGGGTTAGAATTTAGAATATGCACTATAATACACCAAAAATACTTCTACGGAAGTTAATATACAGTATGGCTACATTTGTGCAAAGATGTATATAAATTCACTGTTAAAAAGATGCAAACCCTTGTTACAATTTAAATAAATCATTTCTTGCAAATTCTTTTTTTATTCCTCTAATTAACTTACAGATAAAATGCAATTAGGACAAAAAGCAGGCAGAGAAATGCAAATTACTGTTGTATTATAATGATTATAAAGCTATTGCATTGCAAATCAGCTGTGGCATATAACTGGTATACAGCTGCACACAGTATATGCCGTACAATCCCTCCAATGTATGTATGGATGTGTTAAGTATTAGCTCAGAAGCATCAGCGATGCCCCACAGTCATAAATTAGAGATCGCTTGATGCCTTGTATTGCTGGGGATAAAAATAACACAAGCAAACTGTTGTGCATGAGATTGACCTTTAAATCCATCCCAAAAATACATGCAGCCATCCAGAGAGCCATAATCTGACAGCACAGTGATCCCTAGCTCACAGCCAGAGAGGGGGAGAGGACAGAAATGGGTTTTACATTTCCACATGAAAAACCATGAGACACTCTTCCCCATGCGTCTCTCCCTGCCGTGAGAAACAAAGTCATGTGTTTCCTCCTTTGAAAAAAACCAAGTCAATAATTCAGCGCACTGAACTGCGCGATGGTGCTAAAGAGCCTTTGTTTACTCTGGACCAAAGTCCGTCAACAGAATTAGAAAAGGGAGAGCGGAGAAGAAGAGGAGAGGTGAAGGAGGGCAAAAGCTTGCTTTGAAACAATGACATCCACTTTTTATGCCTTGCCATGCCTCGCTGAGAGATGAAAGGATTTAGTTTGACAAGTGGTGGTGATTTTCAAACTCCTATTTGTTTATTCCCCACACACACACACTGCTGCCAGCCACAGAGCTTTACTCAATAAGAGAAGAAATTAACATACATTGTAATCAAGAGGTACTCGGCCTTGGGAGATATTCCCTCGTTTGATTATACTGACTTCTTAATGCAATTATAATCAGCATCCTATTATGCCTGTATGCTGCACAGTCGATATATCCTGACATTTACTGTATATACTTTTAAAATATGTAACTTCTTTTAACTTCTAATTCAAGTGTAATGTGTTTCTTATATTTTAATCACTTAGGCTACATGTCTTGTGTTATCTCTACCTTCATTTGGGAAGTAATTCATTACCACATTCATCCACATAATTATGAAATACGCCTTAAATGTTAGCAGGGCTGGGCAATATGGAGAAAATCCAATATCACAATTTTTTTTTTTTTTTTTAAAGATATTTTTTTCGGGCATTTTTAAGCCTTTAATCGATAGGACAGATGAGCGTGAAGGGTGGAGAGAGAGAGGGAGTGACATGCAGCAAAGGGCCACAGGCTGGAGTCGAACCCGGGCCGCTGCGGCAACAGCCTTGTACATGGGGCGCCTGCTCTACCACTAAGCCACCGACGCCCCATATCACAATATTTTTTACCAAATCCCTCAATAATGATGTTGCGTCAATACTTTAGGGTTGACAATTGGTGCCTCAAGGCAAATAAAAGACTAATTAGAGCAGTCTGGTATGTTCAGAAAATTACATTACTTTACTGTAATGCAGCCTTTAAAAGCAAGAAAAGACAACACTTACAATATTAGGATATCCATAATCTAGACGATATCCAGTCTCATATCAGGATATATAAATAATATCAATATATTGCCCAGCCCTAGCTGTTAGCAGTTGGCTGTTAGCTAGATAATTTGTTGTTGCGGTTTAGTTTCTCATTTAAAAATAAAAATGGAATATTTTTACTAGGGCTGACCCAAAAAATTCGAAGCTTCAAAGCTTTGTTCAATGGCACGGGATTCGATTGTGAAAAAAAAAAAAAAAAATTCGAAGCTTTGGCGCTTTTTTTTCCTTCGTTTTTTGGGGGGAGGCCTTAAACACAACACTAACCTCCACTAGTCCGATACTGACAACGAGCGCGGTCAGAGCTGGCAGACATGTTCAAGAAGTCATCAGATGTGTGGTTGCACTTTAAAATATGCCCCGACAACCCCCAGAAAGCAGAGTGCCAGATTTGCCAAAAGCAATTGGCATATCACAACTCAACAACAAATTTGAGAAATCACTTGAAAAATGTAAGTAGTAATTAAAAAAGAAAAATGAGGAGAAATAGAAAGCCTGACGCACAATGGAGACCTGCTATTATCCTGCTTGAACACAGACGACTAAATTCTTTCAACAAAGTGACTCAACATAATGATAAAATAGATTTTATTGATGTAAAATATGCATTTTCCAGTTCCACCGGTCCGCTCTGAGTCTGGTGTCAAAGACACTTCTGATGCTCTGAGTTGCGCATCTGTTTGATTGTGCTGCAGTATGCGCCGAGGGTTTTAATTTAGTGTTCAATCAAAAGTTAAACACTACTTATCACTGACCATTAGTGTTTTTTTGTTTGTGAATATTTTTGTCTCAGTTCTAGTGTTGGAAGAAACGTTTTCGCCATATATATA